TTAAACTGTTATCGTCGACAATCGCTCTTTTCGCTCTTACTGTTCTACCTGACCCTTTTAACGGTTTTGCCATCTCTGCCTGCAACTCCATGGCTTTCTCTGATGGTTTCCTTTTTCTTTTTCCTCTTGTTTCACCCATGTCTTCTGCATAGAGAGCCAAAATTCATTAGTAAAGACAGCATCCAAACCTGTGGTATAACACATAGTACATCCACAATACTAATCTACAGATCAGACCTCTATTCGGACAGATTTCATGCTTTTTGCAATTATTATCTCAAGTCTATAGGAAATTCATAAACAGGCGTTTTTCATATGAAGCTGTTACGATATTTCTTACCTCCTTGTGGACTTGATGCATGGTATGCCCCATGTCCATTCTGACCAGCCTCTTCAGAAGCAGGAGACGCAGATATATGAGCTTCATTTAACTTTATGCCTTCAACAAACTTGTCTTGCTGGTCATTTGTATCTGGGATCGGTTCAGCTGGTAGATAGCGGAGTTCCTCCACTGACATATCTGAATCACTGAAAGCATCCTTTTCTACTGCCTCTATGTCAACTTCTTCATCTTCATTAACATCTAATACTTTCGCCTACACACATACAACAACATAAATTCAGGTAAACAGGTGACAGAATGATAATAGAGAACCCTTACTCATCTATCTATTCAGTTTATCACCTTTTCTGTTTCAGGTATCAGATCAAATTCATCTTCCCTTTCCACATACTCTTCATTCTCCTCAAGCTCCTTGAAATCAGGAGCAAATGCGCTCCAATTCTCAGTGTAATCTTTTGCCCAAATGTATACTAAACCAGCCAATGAAACAGAAACGATAATGGGATGAACAGGATGCCAAGCTAGATCAATCAAAGCTTCTTTGGGACCTTCTAATATTTTCACAAGATGCCCTGCTCGATCCCATATGTAGATCTTATGTTCTCCTTTGCATGCAGAGCCTCCAACCACCCACTCACCATCACCACTGAAACAAGGCGCCTTCCAATGCATTTTTGTAACAGAATCCTGGAGTTCCCTGAAGAGTGTTAAGCTTTTGGATCCAACCGTCTTCAGTTTCTCAAAACCATCAAGCCCATCTATGTTCTTGCCCAATTCCTCAAGGGATGTAAGAACATTTTTTGCTGGGAGAAGATTTTCATATATCCTTATGATGCGATCATGTGAATTCGTGAGAAGATATTGCCCATTCCTGCTAAACACTATGTTTTTCACTGGTGCCCCGCCAGTCACAGGAACCAAAGCAAGAACTCGAACGCTTTTATAATCTATTATAAGTATTTCTCCTTTGGAATTTCCTATATAAACAAGATCCCCACACTTGTTAAAGCACGCTGCAGCTGGAGAGAAAGGTGGACCTGATTCAGGACATTTACTGCGTTGTGGAGGAGCTAACACATCTGGCATCTCAGGGACAGCGACCGGAAGCAAAGTTGTACAACCAATATCAAAGTCGACAATCATCGGAGCAGAGGAGAGTGGGCACGCCAGACAAAGAGAAGGTGAACTTAAACCAGGGTTTAGGCGCGCTTGCAACGGAGTCTGCTGAAGAATGGTCCGAGCAATCCTCTCTCCGCTCGAGACCTCCCAAAGAGTTAATGACTTGTCTGCAGCAGAAACAAGCAAGCGATGCCCATATTTCGACCAGGAAACACTTGTAATAGCAGCAGAACAATCATTATCACGAATCTCCTTCGCAATGCCCCTAGTTTCAAA